GAGATCCAGTAAGTGACTAAGAAAACCCTCCCGGTACATCAGAAAAGTTCCCGTCTTAAAAAAAAAAAAAAATGCCGCTATATCATACAAGATCCTGTATGTGACTCAGATGACTAAAAAGGGCCCGTACGAGAAAAGTTCCTGTGGATAACTTAATAAAAATCCTGCAGCTGTATCATAAAAAGTCCCCGTGAGTGAATTCCGTGACTTAGAAGGACCTCCAGGCACAGACACGAGAGAAGTTCCAGTAGATGACTTATCAAAATCCTGCCGTCGTATCATAAAAGTCCCCGTGACTGAATCAGGTGACTTAGAAGGACCTCCCGGTACACAAACGAGAAAAGATCCTAAGAGGGACTTAAAAGACCCTGCCATTACTCCCGTGCGAGGGAAGGAGAGAGAGAGAGAGAGAAGATTTCGTCCTCCAGTCTTGAACTCTAACCTTCAAGTTTATCTCGAGACAAGTATCTTTCTAGCTGATGTGGGAAGACTGTGGGGGGTGCCTCGGCGAGGTCGGTGTCTGCGGCAACTTTAAACTTGAATGACCTTTCATGACGTGTCCTTTAAAGTTCAGGAGGAAGAGGGTGATTCTAGGCGTGCGCTATCAGGAGGTTTAACGGAGATAATACCAAATGAAAGACGTCCGATGATAAAGGAAAATAAGGTGGACGAAGGGATGATTCTTATGAGGAAATATAGGCGGAATATAATGGGGAGCAGAGAGAGAGAGAGGGAGAGGGAAGGAGGGAAGGAGGGAGAAGGGGGGAGGGAGAGAGGAGGGAGAGAAAGGAGAGAGGGGGGAGAGAAAGAGAGCGAGAGAGAAAAGAGAGGGAGAGAAAGGAGAGGGAGAGAGAGAGAGAGAGAAAGGGAGAGGGAGAGAAAGAGAGAGAGGGAGGGAAAGATAACGAGTGGGAAGGAGAGAGAGAGGGGGGGGGGAAATAAGGTGGATGAAGGGATGATTCTTATGATGAAATATAGGCGGAATATAATGATACCAGAGAGGGAGAGAGGGAGGGGAAAGAGAGGAGGGAGGAAGGAGGGAGAGAGAAGCAAGAGAGAGAGAGAGAGGAGAGAGAGAGAGAAGAGAGAGAGGAGAGAGAGAAAGGAGGAGAGAGAGAGAGAGAGAGAGAGAGAGAGAGAGAGAGAGAGAGAGCACGGGAGGGAGGAGGGAGAGAGATAGAGAGATAAGCATAATGTAAAGGTAAACTCCACAACTGACTTTAAACTTAGTTCGTATTTATAAAGTTCAGTCGGCAAGTATGTTGCATTCAGCAAAAAAAAAAGAAAAAAAAATCCCAGAGTTAGCATAATGAGGCTGCTTACTCTCTCATGCATCATAAGTGTTGTAATCTTAATAGATAACACTTTAAGACAACATCAGCTGCCTACATGGCCTTGTAAATCACAATTAAACGAAATTAATATATGCCGAGCCGTGTAAACACCTGCATTAAAACATATCTCAAAGTTATGATACAACTGTAGATGCAAATTTTCAGGATCTCGGCCAGAAAAAAAAATAGGAGAATAAAACAATTTAAAAAATATCTTAGTAACTGCATCTCCTCTCGCCCAGCATCCCTCTCTCGTGTCTTTATCTCCCGGCTGTACAGTTGCATCTTGCCTGATAGCAGATAGCACGACGGGGAGGGGGAGGGGGAGGGGGGAGTGCAGTTGCATGCAGGAATCTGAGCCCTGAGTGGAAATGTACTGTTCAAGCAGACAAATTTGATACTTTATTGGAGACTTTGGCCAGAAATCATACGAGTATTATATATACACAGATATGTTAATGTGTGTGTGTGTGTGAATAGATAGATGTAAATAGATAAGGAGATAGGGCTGTATATACAGTGTACATGGATGGAAGAATGAATTAATCAATGGATATAATATAATATATGTCTCTCTCTCTCTCTCTCTTCTCTCTCTTCTCTCTCTCTCTCTCTCTCTCTATATATATATATATATATATATATATATATATATATATATATATATATATATATATATATATATATATATATGCATCACACACACATACATATTATAAATATACACACCACACACACACACGCAATATCTATGCAGACACGAAGGACATTATTGCATGCAGAGCTTTCGCTTCCTCATTCGTCCCAGTGCATCCCACCGGACGTCCTTCCCGGCCTCTTCCTGTCCTGCGAACATCAGGATTCTCATTTTTCTTTCCTTTCATTGCCCTCTCTTTGTGATTTCGTTTGTCTTTCTGTTTGTATGGTTTTGGTTTTGTTTGTGTGTCTCATTCGCTCTCTTTTTTCTGTCTTTCTTCTTGATCTTGGGGTCTTTGGTCTTTTTTCTCTTTCTCTTTCTTTTTCTCTTTCTCTTTCTCTTGCTCTCCTGCTCTCTCTCTCTATCTCTATCTATCTATCTATCTATCTCTTCTATCATCTATCTCTTTCTCTTTCTCTTTCTCTTTCTCTTTCTCTTTCTCTCTCTCTCTCTCTTTGCTAACCCGATGTTTTTCTCTTACTTGTGCGTTTACTTCCTCCATTAACAATATACTTTTATTCTATTCCCACTAATATATTTTAATTCATAATATCAAAATGAAAACATTCAATTTCGTAAAGTTCAAACACAGTCATTTTAATTATTTTTTAAAACTGAATGTTTTTATTTCGCAGAATTAGAATATAAAGAATTTTATTTCTATCAACAATCCATCCATCCATTCATCCACTAACCCATCCACCCATCCATCCACCCACCCATTTATTCATCCACCCATCCATCCATCCTTCCATCCACTCATCCATCCACCCACCCATTTATTCATCCACCCATCCCACCCACATCCCTCACATCCACCCATCCTACATCCACCTACCCACCCATCCATCCATCCATCCACCCCCCATCCATCCACCCACCCACCATCTCTCACATCTACCCATCCACCCATCCACCCACCACTCATCTATCCATCCATCCACCCACCCATCCACCCCCATCCCTCAATCTATCCACCCCACCCACCCATCCCTCACATCCAGCCATCCACCCATAGCCACAAACATCCCCATAACCAAACCCACAAAACCCCATTGCAAGCGCCCGGTGCATCAGCCAATCCCATGACGAGCCGCAGCAGTCACGTGATGTTTGCAATACGAACTGCAGCGGCACGTAGCGGCACTTCAGCGGTCCCAGGAACAAAAGAGTAACAGAGTCCGGAAGTTGAGGAACAATGTCGCGTCACCGCTGGGGAGATGGACCCCGAGGCTTGACAATGGGTGTTTGCGAGAAACTTGGTGACCCATCGATTCCATGGGGGTGTTTTTGGTACGCTGGACTTTATTTTATTTATTTATTATTACTTATTTTTATTATTGGGATTTTTTTTTTTTTTTCTTAATTTGACTTTTTTTCTTTTTCTTTTCTGTAAGTATGAAGGAAGGTCTAAAAAGGGATTTTGGAGGGGCTTGTTTTTCTTCTTGTTCTTTTTATTTGCTAATTATATATTTTTTTTTTTTTCTCTCTCTCTTTATCTTACGGTTTTTTATTTTCGGTTTCTTTTCTTTCTCTGCTTCTCTCTTCGCATGAATTTCCCACTATCTCTTTTAGCCATCTTCTCGTTCTGTCTTTCCTATTCTATCCATCACTCCCTCTCTCTCTCTTCTCTCTCTCTCTCTCTCTCTCTCTCTCTCTCTCTCTCTCTCTCTCTCTCTCTTCTCTCTCTCTCTCTCTCTCTCTCTCTCTCACTCTTTCTCTCTCTCTCCTCCCTCCCGTCACTGTCTCTTTCTCTTCTCTCTCTCTCTCTCTCTCTCTCTCTCTCTCTCTCTCCTCTCTCTCTCTCTCTCTCTCTCTCTCTCTCTCTCTCTCTCTCTCCCTCCCTCCCTCCCTCCCTCCCTCTCTCTCTCATTCGCACACTTTTTCCTCTCTCCCATTATACCTCTTCCCCTCTCTTTCTCTTTCTCCTCCTCTCTTGCTCTCCCTTCTTCCATTGCCTCTTCCTCCATTCACCGTAAAATCCGAGACCGCCCTTGTCTTCCATTCTCGCACAAATGCTTCTTCAATTTACTTCGGTCAAATAAATCAACTTTTATCACAGGATGTTTATCTAAGGGAGCGAGCGAGCGAGTGAGCGTGTGTGTGGTGTGTGTGTGTTGGACGTGTGTGTGTGTGTGTGTGTGTGTGTGTGTGTGTGTGTGTGTGTGTGTGTGTGTGTGTGTTGTGTGTGTGTTGGTGACCCCATTTCCCTTCCGCTTTAACCTCCCCTCTGCTTTATTCCCCTTTCCCTCGTGTCCTTTTCAGCCCTCCCTTTCCATTCCCCTTCCCCTTCCCTTTACCCCCTACCATTCCTCATTATCTCTACTCCTTCCTTTATTTCTCCTTCCCTTTCCTCTTGCTCCTTTTCCCCTCCGTATCCCCTTTAGGCTTGCTCTTCCACTTCCCCCTCCTTCTCACCCCTCCTTTTCCTTCTTCTCGAATTCCCTCCCCTTTTCCCCTATTCTTCGCGTCCTCAACCCCCCTTTCCCTCCCCCATCCCCCTTACCCTCCCCTTTACCCCCTCCCCCTTCCTCCTTTTCTTCCTCGCGTTCTTCAACCACCCTTCCCATTTCCCCTCCCCCTTCCCCTTTCCCCCCCCTCTCCCGTACCCCTCCCCCCCCCCTTCCCCCTCCCCGCTTTCCCTCCCCTCCCCCCTCCCCACTTCCCCCTTCTCCCGTTACCCTCCTCCTCCTCCTCCTCCTCCAGCCAAGATCTCCCCAAGAAGGGACTCGCCGCAGCGCCGCCGACCGTGACTCTTAAAACCTCCGAAGCCTCTCCTC